CTTGCTCTCCAGGTGGCATTTGTTGCAACCAATTTTCTTCATTATTTTGTGTATCAGTGAGTGTTTTTTTTCACTTTTTAGATTTTCCTGTAAATGCATACCAATATATTGTATGTTTTATATTGATTTTTATTATCAAATTGTGAAAGAAATGCCATACATGAAAAGTGTGCCAATATTTTTAGTGTTTATTAATGTCTTCCTAGTTTTCTTCAATTATATGCTTATAATTGGTATAGTTTTAGTTTCACACAGCTATATGGCACATGGCAAACTTTGTATGTAATGGACAGTGACAAATGATAAGACTTGTGTATTGCATTTCAAGTAAATTATGATAAAGGTAAACAATTTGTTTGACCTATGTATTCATTTATAATATATAATGACCACACTAATTTAAAGAAAATCTATTAATACTGTCATAAAGAAAAAAACTAGACTCTTCAGTAAATTAAATAATCTGCACAGGCAAAGAATAACACCAGAAATCAAGAAAATATTTTGTGACAAATGCTATGCAGAATATATGTCATGTCGATCTGGTGTAGATCTGGGAGTGGATTCCCTGATAAGGAAAAACAGCTATTGGATGGGGCCTATGGGTAAAACCCCATTGTTAGGAAGGTTTTTGGTTCATACCGCACAGTTTTTAGATCCCTAGGAGTGGCCGGAGTGGGCCTACATCCTGGAGGGATGTGGTCACTTTGTAAATAATTACCAATACTTACACTGATGTCATTTGTTTTATCAGTTTATTATTTTTAAAGTATTTAGATGTTGGTGTATCACCATCACAGTTCAGTCTGTGAACCTGTGCTTGCATAGATGTAACTTAACGCTACCTTTCTCTGTTTAACCAAATCTTAAGTTTACATAAAAGTTGTAGTCTCTCTAGCATAAGTTTCCATCATTCACTAAATAGTCATGTATCTTACAGACAAAATATGGAATCCTACGAGCCCCCTGCCAAGAGGATCCTTCACAGCGGCTATTTCAACCCCACACTGAGGCAATGGCAGACATCCAACACAGAGATCCATCCTTGGAACCTGATGTATCCTATCTTCGTTGTGTAAGGATCAGTGTGATGTTTTGCTTATTTTTCTTTTTAAATTTTCTTGTGTAAACCTTAGTACTAAAAATAGTTTCCTTTCTTTATATATTTGAAATAGGGTTAAGAAGAAAACCTTATTATTGTTTATGTATGGTCAATTTCTATTCTGAATTCTGACAGTTCAGAAATCAAGGCTTACAGAATAAAGTGATTTATATTGTACTAATGAATTAAAAGTACCAAGAAAGTAGTTTCTCTTGATTCTATTTAGTTTTATCAAAAAAACTTAGACTCAATCTCAGCTGCTGATGTTGATTAGTTCTGTCCCTGCATTTCAGAGATGATCCTGAAGCAGAGCAACCAGTGGCAAGTCTTCCTGGAGTTTCTCGTTATGGAGTCAACAAACTTGTAGCTGCAGTGAAGCCTCTTGTCGAGCTTGGCTTGTCATCAGTGAGTAGAATTTCATCAAAGGAAACAATGTTTTGGTTTTGCAGGAAGTCTTCTTTTGTTGAAAAAAAGAAAAGAAAAAAGAAAAAAAAATGCTCAGGCTGATGAATAAATTCTTTAATTATAACAGAGTTCATTGATCAATTAGCATTTGTTTATAAGCCAAGTAATAATTTATTAACTACTGTCTTTACCCTCTGGTAGGTACTGCTATTTGGTGTTCCATCGAATATGCCAAAGGATGAGCGTGGCAGCAGTGCGGACTCTCCTGATACGCCAGTCATTTTGGCTGTCAAGCTTTTGAGGGAAAACTTCCCAGACTTGCTGGTTGCATGCGATGTAAGTTTTTTTTTTTTTTTTTTTTAGTTTAATTGCTTGTAAAGTATGACTCTGGTAATGAAAAAAAACAGACACTGGTAAAGGAAAATATCTTTATGTGAGTTTTGAAACTATGATTTGATTACTAATGTTATTTTATAGATTTAGTTACTAATGCATAGATGACAACCACTATGATTTACCTGTAATTTATAATTTTTTTTATCCTTTTGGTGCATTTATGGATGTAGGAGTTGAAATTACGATTTTATAGAAAAAAATTGTCTATTTTGGAAATCTGATTTTTCTGCCACTTCTGATTGTCTTTACTGCTATAGTAAGGCGTGCTGTTCTTGTGCAACTGACTCAAGTACTGGCAGCTATGCCCACTACAATTTGTGTAAATACTGCATGCATTGAGATTTAGGTTGAGCAAGACTGCATTGCAAACAGATATTACCTCACTTCCCTGAACTTGAACACCTACTGCCAAGTCTTTTTCCAATTTTTCTCTTGTGCTGTTTTCGAATGTGGATATGACTGAACTGCCAAGTAGGAGAACCTAAATTAGGTGAACCTAAATTAGGTGAACCTGAATTAGGTGAACCTGAATTATTTGAACCTAAATTAAGTGGACCTAATGTAGGTAAACTTTCTTAGAAAAGTAATCCACATCAGATATTTTTAATGCTTTCAGATTGTTGAAAAGATAATGTTTGTCAGAGTAATGTCTTGTACGGTTCATTATGGATAGGCACCACCAAATTACTGAAAATCTACAAATTTGTTGAAAAAATTACTGATGGGCCAGATTTCAGGTTGGGATCTCTACTAATGTGATTTTACAGGTGTGTTTGTGTGCTTACACTAGTCATGGTCATTGCGGCATCTTAAAGGCAGATGGAAGCATTGACAACACACCTAGCATCAAGCGCTTGGCTGAGCAGGCAACTGCATATGCAAAAGCAGGTAATTTTGAGATGTTTTGCAAAATCAAAGTATTTTTCTATGTTGTTACACAGTCTGTAGATACTGAAAAAGGATGATTATTCCTCCTCTTTCCTTTTATGGTGAGAATGAATTCATTATCTTTTTCATGTTACTATTATTGTTATTATTACTATTATCATTATTAATATTAGCCTTAGTACTGCTTTCCAATTACATTTTGTATTCTTCTCTTGCACAGGTGCACAAATCATTGCCCCATCGGACATGATGGATGGTCGTGTTGGAGCAATCAAGTCATCCTTGAAAGAAGCAGGCCTGGCCAGCAAAGTGTCAGTCTTGTCATATGCTGTCAAGTTTGCATCTTCCTTCTATGGGCCATTTAGGGATGCTGCCAAGTCTGCTCCTGCCTCTGGAGACCGGAAATGCTATCAGCTGCCTCCTGGTTCTTCTGGGCTGGCACTAAGAGCTGCCGTGAGTTGAGGAATGAATTGGTTGGTGGATAGAGGGATTAATGAATAGATGAATAGATGATTGAATGTATAATAAATGGATGGATGGGTGACTTGACAGGTAGGTGGAGTGTGATTAGGTAAATGAATTGGAGGGTGGATGTATTGAATTGATTACTTTCAGAATAGCAGTTGGTTAAGGGTTGGAAGAGCAGATAGATGGATGGATGACCATAGGAATAGATTGGATTTTTACTTTTGGCCTGTATGGATAATCTTTCAGGACAGTTGATTTGCAGATGATATGTATTATGTTTATGGAGAAATTGACATATTTAAACATTTCTTCCCAGGAACGAGATGTAGAAGAAGGTGCTGATATGCTGATGGTCAAACCAGGCATATCATACCTGGACATCGTACGCCAGACAAAAGACCGCTACCCACAGTACCCTCTCTTTATATACCAGGTTAGATTAATCTTTGTTTATTATTATTTTTTTTCAAGTTATCTACTCTTAAGTTATTCATTTATTTATTCCTGAAGTTTTGATCTTTTGACATCCTAAACTATTAAACTATATAACTAATATTTATTTTTTGAGAAAGTGATTTAACAATTTCTTAGTAGATCTTTTGCACATTTAACCAACATTGATAGCTTCATACAGTTGTTTCTTTGTATACCCTACTTTCAGAAGAGTTTCCCTTATCATCTTGTGTGGATAATATTATTCATGCCTCTTATATTAATTTTAATTTCTACAGGTGTCCGGAGAGTATGCAATGCTGTACCATGGGGCTCAAGCAGGTGCCTTTAATCTTCGTGTTACCCTAATGGAGGTGCTCACTAGCATGCGGCGTGCAGGTAAATTCTCTTTCAGTTTTGTTTTATGCTAGTGATTTTAAACCCTCTAGATACTGGTTGTATGAATATTTTTTTTTATATGGTGATTCTTGTTATTGCCATTGGTACAGAAAGAAATATATGTAGCCTAGAGTATATTTGAAATTCATTTTCTCTAAAAGCTTATTTTTGATACTTTTGTGCATTTCTTTACAGGATCTGATGTGATCATTTCATACTTCACACCAAAGGTGCTGGAATGGCTCAAGAAAGAGAAAAACAAATCATAAAATAATTTCTCCTGATTTTGTTGTACTTTGTCCCAGACTTGTAAGTGGTCGTAGGCACACCAAAAATCTGAATTCCATTTACATGACAGATGATGATATTTTATTTTCATAATTGCTCTTTTGAAAAGTTTCATTATATCCATTATGTCGTCTCTTCTGTCAGATTCAGATGGATGAAGTATAAGACTTGTTACACAGTTTAGAAGAGACTGCCAATGAGAAGTAAACAGATCATCCATTCATAAACTGTAGTTCCTGTTAGAGGCTTTGGTGTCAGGTAGATTGTTTGGGAAATTGCACGCAAGCAGATGCACTAAAAACATTATCATAAGGTGTGATTTCATTATCATAAGGTGTGATTATATTAAAGTGAAGAAATGATCATTGTCAGGACTTCCATGAAAGGCATTTTTGATCATTTAAAGATTGTTTGTATTTTGTTGAGCACTGAGCATAACTTCATAGCATTTATTTATATATTATATTGGATTCTGTGATAGGGTTGATTTTGGAAATGTATTAATGGTCTAAGAATTAGGGATTTAACTTTGAAATTACTACTTAAAGAGACATGGAGGAGTACTATAGCTATTTGTACTTAAACCTCTGGCCAGATTTTTGTAGCATTTTGTATTATTTTT